TAAATAATAGTGAATGATCTAACAATTTTAGTTGCCTTTTTACTTATCTGGTCATGTATGACTATGTAAACATGTTCTCTGCTGGGATTGAACCCAGGACCTTGTGCATGTGAGTCAAGTGCTCTACCACTGACTACCATAGGCATGTGCCTGGCTTTCTGTGGTTATTTTTGGAACTAAAGTCCACAATGCCAGGAACTTTTTAATGGTAATGTGTTGATGTAGGTGTTTAGTACAAATTTATTAAATGCCTTGGGACCTGAATCTTGAAGCTGGCAAGAGTATGTGGGCCCTACACCCAGAGGGGTAACTCTTGGCAATATTTAGCTTAGGTTTTTGCAATTTCTAATAAGTGTTTTAATTAGTGTGTGGGTCTACCAAGTTAATCATGGCATTGTATTGTGAAAAGTTTATAGTTAAAGCTTATGGTTGGATGCTAATTTGGTTTTTAGTGTTTACAAAAAATGTCCTCAGTTTAAAAAATACCAGTTCATGCGGCCTGGGGGTATGTTTCGTGGTAGAGCACTTGCCTAACGTGTGAGGTGTGAGGTTCCTTGTTTGATTCCCAGCACTGAGGGGAATAAATTAAAAGTTTGTGTCCATATTTTCTATCATTTTGCTTGCTTTCAATTATTTAATATGGATTGTGTGTGTGTGGTGGTGGGGATGAATATCGGCCTCCGAATTACATCTGCAGCCCTTATGATAGGGAATTTTTGCTTTTACAAATAAGGCTTTATAAAGATAAATATTTGAAAGCACTTGCTAGAGAAGGTGTATGGAAGCATATGTTAATAAATTGTAAAGTAGACTAGTGGAAAGCAACAAATAAGCAAAAACTGAAGCAATAAGCAGATGAGAGTTCAATATTTTATTACAGGTAATACATTTGAAATGATGTATTTTAATATTGTTAGGAATAGTATTTTGGGCAAATGAGAGCAATTTTTTTTAGGGAAGAGGTGGTACTGAAACATACTTAAATTCTATGCTTTTAAAAAAAATCTCATTTAAAGATTAACTTTTTAGGGCTGGGGATGTGGATCAAGCGGTAGCACACTCGCCTGGCATGCGTGCAACCCTGGTTCGATCCTCAGCACCACATACAAAAAACAAAGATGTTGTGTCCACTGAAAACTAAAAAATAAATTTTAAAATTCTCTCTCTTTAAAAAAAAAGATTAACTTTTTAAAAAATTGGTATTTTAGAAAAACAACAAGATTTTCCTCTTGTTTCAATCCCTCATTGCTATGGCTTTCAGAGTACTACTTAAATGTCCTAAAAACTTAATGTCGACTTATCAAAATGGTGTCTTTCACCTTCCTAGCTTCAAAACTTCATCTTTTTAATTTTTAAAATTACCATCATATTGGATGAATTTTATTTATTACTTAAATTTTAATACTTGTGTGTGGGTTTATTTTTGGTATACATCTTCTCAGGCTGCCACCCATTGTTAATTGTGGGCCTTCCTTGAAGGTCATAGTAACATCTCCCTAAATTGTCTTCAATGCCTGTGTGTGTGTATGTGCACTTATGCGTGCCTGAGCTGAAAATTAATTCAGGGGCCATATATGCTAAGCAGTCACTCTACCACTGGTATGCTCCCAGGCTACTTCAGTGCCTTTTATCTTTCCCATTTTTTTAAGTAGATAATTTTACAGACACTGTAGTATCGCATCCTTGATATAATTACTGAGAAAGACTGCTTGTTGGGTAATATATGTGATGTTCTGCTTGATTATTTTAGACTTTTAGAACTCTGAAATGGGTGCTCTCCAATACTTTTTGCTCCAACGCTACTCATAAGCTTCTTTTAGTGGGAAAGCTGAATTCAAAATCACAGATGTCGTGCTTGCTTAGCAACCTAAGCAAGTATGATACACATATAGACCTAGAATAGGTTCTGGCAGGTAATAGGCATTTATGATAAATTGTGGATTAATAGTATTCTCTTGCATCCATTCCTGACTCTAGTTCCCAAAACCCAGTTGAGGTAGCTTTTTATACATTCTCTCAACTCAGCTTTGTTCACAATATGTTCCTTTGTATTTTCTCTCCATAACAGATTGTGACATCCTTTTGTGACCTTCCCCTAACTGCTAGATAAAATGGACTGTACACCATAAGCATTCAGTAGAGAATTTTGATTGGCATTGAAAACATACCTCAGTTTTCTGATTTTGAAGAGGAAGATTTTTTTTCATGTCTAGTCAAAAAAAAAAAAAAAGGCTTTATAACAAATAATTGCATTCTAAGGAAATTGATCTTTAAGAGTTCATAATGTGTCAGAATTCTAAGAACCAAAAAAGCTTTTTTAAAAAAATATAGAAAAATACTATCTTTTTGCCATTTCTTTTTCTTTCTTTCTTTTTATACCTTTATTTCACTTTTTTATATGGTGCTGAGAATCAAACCCAGGGTCTCACCTATGTGAGGTGAGTGCTCTACCTACCGCTGAGCCACAATCCCAGCCCTTTTTTTTTAAATACTGCATAGATAGGAGAAGAACAGATCTCCAGAGTTGAGGACTTCATGGCAAGGCAGGAGCATCATATTGAGAAGACTGAATTCAGGTAGCCACTAATCAGAATCCTGAAAGTGCTGAGAGAATAGTTCAAGAAGAAAAATTGCTAGCTTAGAAATCAAAGTAATGGGGCTGGGGTTGTGGCTCAGCGATAGAGCATTTGCCTAGCACGTGTGAGGTCCTGGATTCGATCCTCAGCAACACATAAAAATAAAATAAACAAAGGGGTTGTGTCCAACTAAAAAATAAATATTAAAAAAAGAAAAATCGGGCTGGGGATGTGGCTCAAGCGGTAGCGCGCTCGCCTGGCATGCGTGCGGCCCGGGTTCGATCCTCAGCACCACATACAAAGATGTTGTGTCCGCCAAAAACTAAAAGATGAATATTAAAAAATTCTCTCTCTATCTCTCTCCTCACTCTCTCTCTCTCTTTAAAAAAAAAAAAAAGAAAAATCAAAATAATGTGAGTTGTCAGTTTAAAAAAAAATGCATAAAAATACTACTCTTCAATGTCGAAGGACAATTAGGAAAAATATGAATTTCGACCAAAGTGTTATTTTAGTATACTCTGAGAATAATATGTGAGAAGGCTAACGGTCATTTATATAAACTGATGGGTATAAAATTTGAGGTTCTATGTAAATCAGTTGCTTTTCTTACAGAAGCAGCAGTGCATGGAAAACCTTGGGACTGACGGTGAATGTAGCTCCAAGTGCTTGCCCTAGCATGCATGACACCCAGGGTTCAAACCTAGCACCACAAAAAATAAAAAGTAATGATGGGAAAATTAAATCAATTCTACCATCCCAAAATGAATGAGGTACTTAGACTTTTAACTTTTTCCTTCGTGTTTAGTATTTTAAAATTGTATTTCATTTTAAACTCTACTCTGCTTTTGGGGGAGAGGGTTTTGTAATATAAATAGCTGCAGACTTTTTTCACAAATAGGACTTTTTGTCACTACTAAAATGTGGATATTAAACATTCCTGGGCTGGTGGTTCATATTCATCAGTTTAAATATTCAAATCTAGCAAAAATCTTTCAGGGAACTTCTGCCTAAGGGTTTCCTAGTACACCATAATGGATTCTCTTTTGAAAATGGAAAAAATTATTCCCAGTTTATTTTCTAAATTAAGATACCACTTTTGAGAAGTTGGTAACTAATTTAGCTGTTTTTACTCAGCCATGTCTCTCAAACTATTTGTTTAGCATGTTTTGTAGGGCAGATGTGCACTTGAACCCAACCTCTGTCATATGATTAAAGTCCATATTAATACGCTTTGTATTGAGGTTAAGCTGTTTTCCAATTCCTATTGGAGGCCATTTTTTTGTTGTTGTTGGTGTTTACAATTATGCTCTGTGTTTCAAAAGCACTTGAAAATCAAATCTGTTTTTCAGAACAAAAGTCTTTGTATCAGCCTTTCCTAAAATGTTTAAATCTAGAAATGGTTGTTCAAGGGGTTAGTAGTAGGATACATTATTTAAGAAATGGTTTCATGCTTACATATATTTGGGAAGTCCATTTCTTTTTCTGCATGATTTCTCAGATTCTTTACTACATTAATGTATTAGAATTCTGATTTTTTTCTTTTGTACTGGGGTTTGAACCCAGGGCCCTGTAAGTGCTTCTAACCTGAGCTACTTCCCAGCCCCCCAATTTTTGACCAGAAGGTGCACTTTTCACCCATCGTTTTATTGGTGGAATACATTGCCTCATTCTAATAAGCTAATTTGGAATATAATATAAACAAAATACAAATTTTTTTCCAGAACGACCACGTGGACTTTTGAAGTTGTTACAATATTGTTGCCACATAAAAGTGCATTAAATTTGATTTTCCAAAGGGTTTATTTGGTGGTAATCAGTTTTCTCTAGTATGTGGACTTTGTTACACTTGCAATTTGTTAACAAGATAGCGGAAAGAAACAACAATCACTGAGTGAATATCCTTTATTGAGAATCAAATATTCTAAATTTACTAAACTTAGAGGTAGTCATGGCCCCTCCCAAATAAACTTTACAGTCTTAGACAATTTGTGCATTTTAATAAATTCTTTTTTTTTTTTTAATATTCATTTATTTTTTAGTTTTCGGCAGACACAACATCTCCGTTTGTATGTGGTGCTGAGGATCAAACCCGGGCCGCATGCATGCCAGGTGAGCGCGCTACCGCTTGAGCCACATCCCCAGCCCTTAATAAATTCTTAATTATAGTATAAAAGAAAGTCACTGAGGAAGCTTATAAAACAGCTATGAAACATATATAGAAGACTGTAGTTTCATAAGCTAAAATATGATAAAAGTTTGAACAATACATATAGTATCTGCTTATTAGTTTTAAATGTAAAGTCTACAGCAAACCTAGGCTTCTATTTTAGGTATTAGGAACTCTTGGTGCTCTTTACCTAATCTGACCATCATAATTTTCTTCCCCTCCCCACACCTAAAGTCACAAGGAAGATACAAATGTGATTTGTCATAAACATCAATTGTATTGTTACTATGCAGAATAAGAACCAAACTTGAGCAACTTACCCTGTTGTAATGAGAATACACTATGTTTATTTTTCTGGATTCCCTAGGAAAATATATTTTCAATTCATAAGATATTTATACTTTCTAAACCTAAAGCTAATTTACATCATTTTAGAAACATTACAAATACAAATTTGCTTTTAGAACAAAACACAATGTATTTCTTAGAAATACTTTCAGAAATGTTGAGAAGAGGCTTTTAACATTTCTGATACATTCAGCAGCTTTTCTGAATATAATAAATTAAGCACCAAAATCAACACTGACATTTGTCTGCAAGGACTTAACATTTCTCTAAAATACTCCCTACCATCTAGGTTTATATTAATGTTGATCACCATTTGAGTAGGCTCATGAGAAAGCTAAACACTTCATGAAAGCTTCCATAATATTACTAGATGATCATTCTTGGTAACCAATATTTTGGTTTTCAGTCAAAGATTTAGCCTTTAATAAGGTGTATTATGCTGCCTTCAAAATATTTGTCAACCTGAATATTAATTATCCTTCCTTCACTTGGACAAGCATCAAAAATGGCACCACAGTATGATTTCTCCTACCAGTTTGCAGTCCAGCAGGGGTCTAGTTTAGGTAACTAAACGTGTGGTGAATTAGGGCTCCTATAACTCCTGCATTTTTCTCCTATCTTCAGAACCTTTATCATATTTTCTACCGTAGAAGGATTACAGTTGAACTTGAGCCTGAGGAGCATATCTATGCGCTGTGAGTATGGACAAAGTGGGAAAGGCGTTAGGGAGGTTTGGGGAGCTGGTCTGATCTGATCACAGAATGCCAGGTTGTGTTTTGTCTTTTTCTGTGGGGGAAGGTGTGCTGGAGATTGAACCCAGGGGTTTATGCATGCTAAGCACACTGAGCCACACCCTGTTTATCTTTTAATGATTTAAAATTTGATTTTGGTAGAAATCTTTGATTTAAACATTTCAGAAGAAATTTATATTAAGGGTCATGAACTAATTCTGATTTTAGTTTATGCTCCTTTAAAAACTATCTTGAAAACCTTTAAGGTTTGATAATACATCAAGTTTGGTCTTATATGCTTTTATATATAACATGCCAAAAACAATTTTGGTACTATTAATCCATACCTTTAAGTATATAATAAATTACTGCTTATTTAAATAAAAAATGATTAAAATATTCAGGTTATTACCTAAGTGGTTAAAAGTTCACAAGTACTATTGATATCAGCCTGTACAGTTTTGTGCATGTAGAATAAGCTTGGCACCTAAATGCCCATGTAGCACCTCAATTCTTTGTGGTTCTCAGGCCTTCATCATGTACCAAGTGCAGTGTGGTTTTATTTTCAGATCCTGCAAAATTTTCAATTTAAAACAAGGGAACTCATTTTTCATGAGCAATACACAACTCTTAAGAATTCTGCCCACCAGAGTTGTGATTGCATTTTGGTGGATCCTTTCCTCCTCCTTATTTCTTATGTAAAGGACAGTAGTTTCAAATTGTTTGCTAATGGCAAAAAATTTTGTCTTCTGGTAAGAAAATATAGATTGTGGTATCATTAACAAGTAAAATACTCTTACTACAAATCTTACAATAAATACAAGTAAAAGTCCTGTATTTGGAATTTTCTTGAAATACACATGAAAACATTTTTGTCATTGTTACCAGTGAGCTGGAGATTGCCATAAGATGTAGTTTCATAAAAGGATGAAAAGCCTTATAGTTTCTGGAAGGGTCTGGGAATAGCAGGTTACTGGAACCCTTTGTTCATTTATTATTCTATCTTGTGTTGAGCTCTGAGGATATAAAAATGAATTTTTCAAACAAGTAGAAAACATACTCTATTTGAGGGGCATACATGAAGTAGAAGATCATATTACAGTGGTGTAAATCCAATAATAGAGATAACTAGTTGATTCTGGAGCACAAAGAGGAAGGGTCTCTATCCCCAGATTGCCTGGGAAGGGGTAGAATGGAATTTTGTGAGATCCTGGTCACTAACAGGTTCTTGGTGAAGTTGATAATTGGAGTTTTAATGGAGGAGTGGGAAATAAGATGTATTGAGTCAGAATGATATTCCAGATACAGGGGACACAAACAATACAGTATGTGACATGTTTAGGAAATAGAAACAGCTTATTGTTGAAGTATCCCCCTTCTCTAGTGCTATGCATAGGATAGACCCTAGAATGGGAAAGTGTTGCAGGGGTGCAAATGAGCTGAGAGGGCTTACACGTCAATACTAACTGCCACGGAGAGGAGAGGGTGGAATCAGAGTTGATAGTTTAAAATTTTAGTGACAGAAGGTAGGAGATGAGGAAGAAAGAGGAAGTATGAAGGATGACTCTCAGATTCTTGGCATGGCGATACCAGTAAATGAGTCACAGAAGGTAGTAGGAAGAAAAGCACTAGGGGGAAAATTATGCTCAATTTTCAACATGAAGAATGTGAGGCATCTCTAGGTCATATCCAGGTGAATAAGTCTAGTGGGCAGTTAGTTGGATGTGCATCTGAAGCTCAGGAGTTACACATTTGGGGGTAGTCATCATCACAGGATTGTGGCATCTTGGTACAGAAAGGCAGGGACACCAACTCTGGAAGGAGAGACACTTCCTTAATTGACATGTTTCTTTGGGACTCTGTAGACACAACCTTTTATCCCACCAGGGCTGTATTTCTTGGACCACTGAGACATGTTTACCTGTTTTCTCTCATATCTTCTTAGAACATCAGCAAAACTATTGTCTTATTTCTTCCATAATTATTACTGTCTCCACAAACAGTACTCATGGCAAGGTCTGTTATACAGTAAGTGATCAATAAATGTTCATCTTTGTCATTTATAGTCAGCTGGCTCTTGCAATAGATGACTAGCTCTTCCCCCTGCCACCCACCCACCCCTTGCAGGAACTTCTGTTTTACTTTTCAAGTTTAAATTACACATTTCTAAAACGACTTCAAGATTAATTTGTAAATGGGCAGTACTTGATAGGCAGGTATCTTCCATCTGTCATTCAAGACTGAATCATTCCTTTCATTATCACCACATGTTACTTATTGCAGGATTTGGAAATATCCATTTCTCTTCTTAGGGAAGACTGGAGCTTATCCAGTTGAGATCCCATGAGGGAGTTAGAGTTGCAGTCACCTGGAGTGAGTAATCCCTGATTCCAGGTGGTGATGGGGGTTGAGTTTCACATTTTACTTTATTTGAAAAATATGTGCAAAAGAGTCACCAAAAACAAGAACAAACTAGGCTTTGTTGCAGCTGAGAGGCTCTGCAATGTTTTGTATAGAGGAATCATTGGGCATGAAAGATTTGATACTAGGATAGAATCCACTTGCCCTTGGAATGAAAGTAGAAAATCCTTTTTAAGAGCACTGAAGTTCTGGGATTTCTCTGGAATAACCACCTTTGTGAGATGTGGATCATGTCCAGGGACTGTAACCTGAGAGGAAACAAGAAATAATTGTATGAGTGATTTCAGATGTTTTGTGGTGCCAATACTGAGAAAAACACTGTTAGCCACCCCTAAAATGCAGCCTTTGTGCAATGCAGGTAACAATCCACTGACTTCCAGGCCAGTAATTGATGAGTTATCCAATGCCTATTGACATAGGTCATAGTTAATGCTGTTGCCAAGAATTACAAAATGAAATAAAAGCAGAGACAGGTATTTTATCTGATGATGTAAGTCAGGAGAAAGAATGAAGCTGTAGACCGATTCTCATTTTCATGGTGTGGAAAGAGAGTTGATTGTTTCACTTTGTCCTGAGTCTATACTTATGTCCTTACTGGATATTAATATTATTAAAATTATTCTCTTAATTCGTTCCTTTTTTTTTTTTTTTTTTTTGCAGCTGATCTACGTGTACAAGTATATTGCTTTCTCAAAAAGGTTTGATTTTACTTGACTTTGTTCACAAGTCTGAATCTTTAGCTAGATTTGCTTTTTTGATGAAAGAAATGACTAGGAAAGGTCAGGTACTATGGCTCATGCCTGTAAGCCAAGCAGCTCAAGGAGGCTGAGGCAGGAGGATCATGAGTTCAAAGTCAGCCTCAGCAACTTAGCAAGGCTTAAGCAACTCGGTATAAAAAAGGGCTGGGGATGTGACTCAGTGGTTAAGAACCCCTGGTACCAAACAAAACAAAACCAAAACCAAAACAAAACAAAAACCCAGGAAAAATGCTAAACTAACATGACAAATGCTAAACTAACTATAGGCTATATCTACTGAGAAATGCTTTTATTGTATATGATGGAGAAGGCAAAGAATGGTGAACATAGTTGTTTGTAGAACCACTAATTGGGATGTATTTTACCATTTATTTCAACTTCCAAAGTCTTGTCTTCCAATCTTGTCTTAGAACTAATAATACCTATAGCTAACATGTACTGTATTTGCCTAATGGAAAATGAGCAATTCGTAACTATTCTATAAAGATATGGCTTATTAATGAGACTGCATAAAAATAAAATTCACTATAAGAGAAACTCTTTCATAGGATGGATAGTAAATAGAAGGAAAAATAAAGGGCCTTTTAAGACAAAGAGTCACAGTTAGTTGAAGTTTTTCTCAGGCTCTTTTCGTTTTCTCAGTGGCAGCAGGGATTCACAGGAAGAGGATTAGCTCCACAGAGCCCCACTGTTGGGCACTATGGGGATAACATGGAACAGAAAGGCTTTCAATTCTACAGTTTCACAAACTAAAAACCATGTCTCTCATTATGTCCTAAAGATGAAATAATGAAATACAAAGCCACTTTCTACTACAGAAGAGATGACTACCTTCTTCTAGGAATAGCTCTGCACAAAATGGGACTGCTACGATTGGCCTTGGTCCCACTAAGCAAAGCAGAATCCTGAAGTTTTTTTTGGAGAAAAATCAAAGAGGTAAAAGTACCATCGAGCCAACAAAATCAGGTACTTATTTAGTTCACTCACATAAGCCTACCCAGACTCAAATGAGATCATGCTTTCTTGTCCTAGGAAGAAATGACTCAGAAACATACATTGTAATGGAATTAAAAATCGAGATTTTACTTCAATTGATTGAAAAAAGGGCTGCAAACTATGCCCATCACTTGCTTAATATACTGTCAAAATTTGTGGATCAAATTTTACTTGTTCTAAGGAAACTGTCATAATCTATTTGCCCCCTACCCCATAGTGCTGGGGATTGAACCTAGGGCCGTGCTTACTATGCAAGCACTTGATTACTGAGCTACACCTCCCCTCCTCAATTATTTTTGTAATGATAGAAATTGTATCTTATGGAATGGGTGTTAAATGGTATTCCATGAAGTTCAGAAGTACTTTTGCTACATTATTTGTTTTTATAAATTTAGATATAATATTTGTGTATCTTTATGGGGTATATTATGGTAATTTGATACATGTATATGGAATAATAATCAAATCAGAATAGTATGCATTTTCATCTTTTTAAACATTGATCACTTTTATGTGTAGGGGATTTTGTACTCTTCTAGATGTTTTGAAATATATCATAGATTGTTTCAACCTATAGTTACCCTACTGTATTAAAGAAGAACCAGAATTGATTCCTCTGCTGTTTTGGTGCCTCTTAACTGAACTTCTGTTTCCCATTCAACTCCTGACTTCTCAATCTTCAGTGATCACTATTCCTTTCCTTTCTACAAGGCTGACTTGTCAGTTTCTGCAAAAGAGTGAGAACATGTGGCATTAGAGTTTGTGTCTGACTTATTTCACTGGATATAATGACCTCCAGTTCTCTCTGAATTGCTGCAGATGAAAAGATTTTATTATGGTCAAATAATATTCCACTGTGTATATATATATTTTTTCTTTATCCATTCATCCACTGAAGGGCATTTGGGCTGATCCCACATTTTAGCTGTTGTGAATAGTACTGCAATAAACATGGAAATGCAAGTATCTTTTTGGTATAATGATTTCACCTCCTTTAGATCTATAGTGTTTTCCATAATGACTGTTCATTTATATTCCTGTCAGTAGTGTGTAGGAGTTCCTTTTTTTTCCACATCCTTTTCAGCATTTTTCAGTTTTGGGTGATAGCCCTTTCAACTGGGGTGAGATAACATTTTGTGGTTTTGATTTGCATTTTCCTGATGATTAGTGAGATTGAGTATTTTTCCCTATGCTTGTTGGCCATTTGTAGATCATCTTAGAAGTCTGCTTAGTTCTTTAGTCCATTTTAAAAACTAGGTTGTTGTTTGAATATTCAGCTTTTTGAGTTCCTTATGTATTCTGAATATCAATATCTTGTCAGATGAAGAGTCTGCAAATACTTTCTTCCATTCTGTAGGCTGTTTCTTAATTCTGCTGATTTTCCCCTTTGCTGTGCAATAGCTCCTTGGTTTGATTTAACTCCATTGCCTACACCAAAGTCTTGAATTGTTTCCCATTTTCTTTTAGTAATTTCAGTTTCTATTTAACATTTAGGGTTTTGGTCCATTTTGTGTATCTGTTCTTCTAGTTAGTGGTGTATATTCGTATGTTTTCATGATGGTAGTTTTCATCCTTTTATTGCTAGTGTAGGACTCTTCAGTATTTCTTATAGGGCTGGTTCAGTGGTGATGAATTCCCTTAGTTTCTGTTTATCTGCAATAGACTTTATTTCTCCCTCAGTTTGGAAGGATAATTTTGGGTATAATAAAATCATGGTTGGCAGTTTTTATCATTCAGTATTTTGAATACATCCTCCCATTATTTTCTGAACCATAAAATTTCTTTGAAATCTGCTGTATATGTATCCTGGATGTGACTTGATGCTTTTTCTCTTGCTGTTTTTAGGCTTCTGTCTTACATTTTTGATATTTGGGCTATAATATGCCAAACATGGAAGTCTGTTGGGATCCTTTGAATTTCTTGAATCAGGATGTCCATATCTTATTGAAGGTTTGGGAAATTTTCAGCTATTGTGAAATAAATTTTCAATTCCTCTCCTCTTCACAAAAATTCTCAAAATGAGAATGCTTATTCACTTAATGGTATCCCATAATATTGTAGACTTTCCTCATTCTTTTAAATTCTTCTTTTTTCTCTTTTTTGTCTGGCTAACTAAATTCAAGAGATCTGTCCCTAGTTTTAAGAATTCTTTCTTCTGCTTGTTCTAGTCTCTTGTGAAAGTTATTTTTCATTTCATTAGTTGAAATTCTTAGTTCCAACATATCTGATTGTTCTTCATTTTTTCTTTCTTTTCAGTGAATTTCTCATTCATATGCTGAATTGTTTTTCTTATATATCATCTCTTGCATCTCATTGCATTTCCTCAGGATCATCATTTTAATTCTTTATCAGGTACCTCATATATTTCCTTCAAATTGGGGTCTATTTCTGGAGAACTGTCATTCTCCTTTGGAAGTGTGATGTTTCCTTTCATGTTTATTGTGTCCTTGTGTTGATGTCTGCTCATCTGGTATAATGTTCATTTCTTCCAATTTTATGAAATAACTTCAGTAGAAAAAGATTCTTTTTTGCTTAGATGGGGTAAAGGCTGTCATTTGGATAGGGGCTTTGGGTTTGGATATAAGGGAGCTCAAACGTATAGTTTCTGTGTGCTTTATGAGTCCATGAGCACCTCAATAGCCTAGACTGTAGAGGTTTGTAAAGGGTAGTTGTATGACTGCAGTGGACATGACTTCCAAAGGTATGTGACTTTGGGCTCTACAGAGTTGAGCCCTGATGGCACTGTAACTAGTGGTGGCAACTGACAACAGTTCTGGTGATGTAGAATATGGAGAGGCCTACCCTCTGGTCCCTCAGGGAAAGCACAGGTGACATCAAAGGTTGTAGCCTCAGCACCCATGGTCCCTGAACCATAGGACATGTAGGAAGCCTTCCTTAGGATTCTCAAGATGAATGGAGGAGATGTCTGGGTCTGCAGTATCAGCAGCCACAGTTCTGAAGTCTTACAGAATGAGCACAGGTGGGTCTGTGGCACTGGAAACCATGAAATTTAGATTTGGGAACACAAAGGGCCCTTCCCCTAGGTCCCATGAGGTGATTTATAGTTGGTGCTGGGCTTGTAGTGCTGTGAGGTGCTTTTTGGAGTTGTGGGACCCAGATGTTACTTTCTTGACAGCCCAGAGGATAAGCACAGAGTGATCCAGGGCTTTTGGCACCAGAACTATGGTCTGAAGTCTGTGGGTTACACAGATGTTCCTTAGGTTTCCCAGGGCCTGTGCATTTGGGCTAGTGGTACGGTATCCATGGGAGATCTTCCCTAGGTCCTTCAGGTTGAGCACAAGTGATTATGGGGCCTGTGGCTTTGTTATCTGCAGTCTTGGAGTTTCAGGATATGAGTGAGAATGTCCCTAGGGCAAGCTCTGGTAGGAACAAAGCTTGTAGAGTTAGCAATTACAGTCCTGAAGATGGGTCCTTCCCCCATCCAGCTGTACCCTTGAGTGAAGTAGAGGCTTTTTGCATCTGCAGTTGCAGACCCAAGGACTTGAGCTGAGAAGGAGACTTTTCCTAGATTAGCAGGTGAGCAGATGTCAAGCAGGTATTCAGGCTACCACAGCTGTATTTCTGGAGCTGCAGAAACCCCTACACCCACAGGCATGAGTGAAGTTGGGATTTTGCAACAGTGGCTACAGTCCCAAGGCTGTGGACTGGGAGGACATATTCCCTTGATCCTGCAGGGCAAATGTGAGTGGGGCTCAGGCTCTTGGCTGTAGTCAGTGGGTGGTCCTGAAGCTGCAGGATGCTGAGAGGGCTGCCTTATTCCCAGTGAAGTGTACACCAAGGCTTCTAACTGGTCAAGGGTTTGGATGCCAGCCCCAAAACAATATGGCATCTAGTAGTGGTTGTTGTAGTTTGAGTTCTGGGGGTTGAAGGTGGTCCAAAAGGAGCACTTTCTTTGGAGCAGAAGAGTCACTTTTAGACCAGTCAGTTCCCCAGACTAGATTTAAAGCTTGTAAGGATTGTGGAATTCTGCAGTTAGGACTGTTGGTCTGCTGCTACAGTCAGGGTTGCTGGTACTTCCAGCTCACCTCCTTCCCACCATGCTGGTTCCTCACTGCCTGCTGGGAGCTCTGCATTGCTTTCTTTTCTCTAGGTTGGAGACCTTTGCTGTGTAGGCTTCACTGCCTTGCGGATTTCCAGAGTTCTCCCTCACATTCCTTGAAATAGTTGCTCCTTTGCTGCCTTGATCCTGTGGCAGAGGGCACAAGGCACCTCTCTTCAGCCATCTTGGCTCCCTTTTATTCTTACTAATAAGGTTGCATTTTTTTTTTCTTAAATTATAAAGATTCTCACCAAAATAGGATTTGGCTTTACTTTAAAAATTAAGGGTTGGGGATGCAACTCAGTGGCAGAGAGCACTTGCCCTAGCATGTGTGAGGCCCCTGGGTTCAATCCCCAGTATGACACAAAAGGAAGATTGCCACTCAAGAAAACATGATTTTTTTTTTTCTTTTGGTTAGTTCCTATTGTTCTTACCTCCGCCGCACCCCTGTCATTTGCAGGCATGATTCCATTTCTTTCTGCCCAGATTTATTCTATATTCCTTCTGGGTGAGTACTGTGAGCTCTGTAGTTATCTTCATAACAACCAGGATTGCATACTTACATTTATTGTATAGGACCCAGGCAAGAGAAGTAGATAGTACTCTCCAAATTTGTTGGTTCTAAATGGGCAGATATGTTTTCTGTCTTCGACTTCCACAATTACATTGGGTAATGGATTTCCATTCTGATCAAAAACTTGACCCTTTACACCTGTAGGACAAAAAGACAATCAAATGTAAATACCATTTTATGGCACATTGCAAAAATCAATGACTAGGGCTGGGGATGTGGCTCAAGCAGTAGCATGTTCGCCTGGCATGCGTGCAGCCCGGGTTCGATCCTCAGCACCACATACAAAGATGTTGTATCCGCCGAAAACTAAAAAATAAATATTAAAAAATTCTCTCTCTCTCTCTTAAAAAAAAAAAGGAAAATTATTTATAAAAAAAAAATCAATGACTACCAATTACAGTCAAATTACTAATCTGACTTATAGCTTGTAGATTGTTGGTTGCTAAATATTCCATTTATAACACATATCAAAATGAGAGAACACATATGACATAATCTAAAATCCATTCCTGTCATTTCCAAACTGTTAACTCAATCGCTAAACTATACTGCCAAATCAGTGGATTCCATAAAATCCTAAACAAAATAATGTTTAATGTATTAACTTAGAAGATGTATATCTATACAAGGAATTGACAATTTTGTCTTATGGTCAGGAAAACTATGTAAGTAGCAAAATTGCAAACAAAAATCTGCTTGAAGCATGGAATTGATTAATGATTTCTTATTACTAATACTAGCAGCCAGCACTATTGAGTGCTTAGTATATTCTAGGTTCTATGCTAGGTGTTCAATATGCATTTTCTCATAGAATCCTCACATCAATTCTACAAGGCAGACAATATTATTATCTCAATTTTGTAGGGCTGGTGTGTGGCTCAGTGGTAGAGAACTTGCCTACCAGGTGCAAGACCCTGCATCTGATTCTCAACAGCACAAAACAAAAACAAATACAATAATCACAATTTTATAGATGAGAACAGTAAGGTTTTGGGTGATTAAAATAAGTTGCAGTCTCACACAGCCAACTATGTGGCATAATACAGATGTAAGCATAATTGTAATCTCCTGAGCCCACAATGAATCCATTATAGCATTACCCACCCCCACCACATACAAACTTCAAAATTTTAGGAGTAGAATTTTTTTGTGTTGCTGGGAATTGAACACAGGGTCCTTCATATTCTAGGCAAGTGTTCTACCACTGAGCATACCCTAGACCCTCTTCTCATTTTTATTTACTTATTTTTGCTATATTGGGGATTGAACCCCAGGGGTGCTCTACCACAGAGCCTCAGCCCCATCCATTTTTATCTTTCATTTTGAGACAATGTCTTGCTAAGTTGCAGAGGCTGGCCTCAAACTTGCAATCCTCCTGACTCAGTCTTCCAAGTAACTGGGATTACAGGAGTGTACCACCATGCCCAGCTTGCCTTCCCCCACCCCCTTTAAAAATCTCACTTTTGTTATTCCTATTATTTGGTATGCTGAAGTGGAAACATTGCCCAAAGACCAGTAGACCCAAAGAAATCAGAGAAAGTTATCATATCAGGAACAAAAATAAGATTTTGAAAAAAGCTCAGATAATAAACAAAAGATGGAGATAAAACCTGAGACTCAAATTCTGTGGCCATAGCTGGAGATGTGAGGAGAAAGGAAAGGCTCTCCTTCCTTGGGTATTAGCTTCATGAATGATAAGTCCTTGCTGGGTGAGAATGGGGACTCTGCTGGCCACAATCCAGGGTGAGAGCTGGGACAGCACTTGAGAGACTGCTTGTTTGTGCCATGTCCCCACAAGATCACAGTTGCCACCTGTTTGGGATCTGGTGAAAGATCCCTGTGTGTGTCCCATAGGTTTCTGGAACTCAGCACATGCCAGATGCTGCAGTTGCTTAGGTGTCTGGATGCTGTGAGTCACTCCCCAGACCTCTTGGTCTGGATCTGCCTTAAGAGTCTAGGAGAGAGACAGGGCCACAGCAGGTGACACTGCATCTTGTGCATCTTGGCTTCTCCCCAGAGGATGGGGGCCAAGCAGGACAATCTAGGCCTAGAATTCAGATTTGTCCTCCTTTGCTATCTTGGCCTCAATAAGTCTGCAGACACCCTTATCCCAAGCCACACCTCCAAACATGACCACATGGTACCACCGGGCCCAGTTTAGACTGAAGTCTAGAGGGAGTTGCTGAAAGAAAACTGTGCTGGAGCTTTAGAAGATGCTGGTGCGAGGCAAGGCCAGCACTATTACTCCCAGTTCATTTGACTTCGCTGAGGTCCAGAGAAGGGCTTGCTCAAGGTTTCAAATAAGCCAGATGACAAAATACCTGAGGAATCTACCCAGGCTCCTGCCCTGGTGGCAGACCCTTCATTAAAGCAAAAGGCCTTAGTGTGCAGAGGTCCTGGATTCCATCCCCAGCAAGGTGGGTGGGGAACAAAAGACCTTTCTTTTCCAGATAAGGCAGGTCAGAGACTTCCAGAGAAGGGTCAAAAATCTCAGTCTCAGAAGCATCCTAGCAAGTGGGAATGCAGCACAGCTTGACAAATACCATTAATTTCCTTAAACCAGAGCAGTACCAACAGAGGGTGTTAGCTCCCATCATCTACAAACAAAAATGTTCTCCCCATTGGTGCCCTTATAGAAAGAGACTTTCTATGAAGTAGTAATAGTCACACTGTATCAGTATTTTGAAATATGGTTTCATTATTAAACTAGGAGAAAAAATGCCATTGTCTTAAACCACAAGGGGGCAGGTTTGATGTGCTTGTACATACACCCCCCCCCACCCCCCCCCCCCACAAATAATTTCTTTCTTCTTTTTTTTTTAATTAGAGCTTTATAGTTACACAAAGTAGTTGAGTTCATCTGATAAACTCACATGTGCATGGGGGTCGATTTCAGTTCATGACACTCCACCCCACTTTCCACTCTATGCTCCCTCCCCTCTCCACTTCTCCTTTCTCTACTAGACTTCCCTATTAATTTGTATTTAATTGGTCACCTATTAATTTGTATTTAATTGGTTCTTTATGTTATCCTGTCCTTTCCCCCTTTCCTTTATTTTACTCTAGCCTCCACATGAGAGAAAACATTGAACTTCTGAGTTTCTGAGTTTGGCTAATTTCACTTAGCATATTCTCCATTTCCATCCATTTACAGGCAAATGCCATACTTTCATTCTTTTTTATGGATGAGTAGAACGCCATTGTGTATGTTTCCAGCGCAATTTCTTAATCCATGTCTTTTTAAAAGTGAGTTGTTCACATCTGATTACAGTGACAGGTAGATAAATATTCCTCATATGACCTAGTGTAAATAGACTTGTAAGTCCTCCAAATTAATAACGATGACTGTAGTAGTGCAATTTGTATGTTATTGGTTTACAAAGCTCCTTCACTGGCAGTATCCTGTCAGCATAACACTTGGAAGCCCACTTTAATTCAGCGCTTGGTGAATCATCTTTACAACTAGATTCTGAAAACAGTAGTACATTTATAAGAGTATATTTCAATTCAGTTTCATTCCCATGTGGATACTGATAAAAGATGAATTTCAGAAAAGAATACACTGTAACACACAAAGGGTTACATGGGTGGAAATATAATACCAAGGTTAAACTAATCCATGCTTCATGAGGCAAAGCTAGTGGAGAATGAAATGCCAGAATGCAAAACAAGACCCCAAACCAAGTTTTATGACATAATAAAGGAGAAAAATCTAGTGATCTGCTTATAACCTTGATGAAGATGCTGGTGAAAAGGTGACATTTTGTAACATTCCCTACACAGGGAATCATCTGATTCAGCAGTTAGACAGGGCCCTGAGAGTTCACCAACAATGTTTGTGTATTTCTGTTCAGGTTGGGGTTGGAGGTTGGTGACAAAGGTAAGGAAGTGGATGGAGGCATGCATTTTTAGGGATGTGCAGCCAAGGGATAGTCTTAATGATGCTTGTATTCAGCTCCCTGCCCTGTGCTCCCCATAGCCCACATCCTTCCCTGTCTACTCTCAACAGGTAGAGAGCATGGGAAGCATGCAGGAGATTCCAGTAGGACCGTGCAGTGAACCTCTTCACACAAACCCACCCTTCACTTGGGATTGATGTTGTGGCACAGCTATTATGACAATCCCTAATATGCTTCTTCCCCCAATCCTTTCTGAACTGAGAAAAATAACCTTGGCCCTGGCCATACAGAAGAGTCTTCCACACTCCACCCAAAGAGACACCGACTGGTTAGCAAACTTGGATTGCACATGATTCCATCATCACACATAACATGTTTCTCTAGTGCAAGAGTTTTCTCAGCATATCCCTGGACTAGCAGTATCACCTGGGAAGATGTTAACAATTCGAGTCCCACAAAATCAGAAACTCTGGGATGAGGCCCTGCAGTCTGTCTCCCCGTATGCCTGATGTTTATGTTTGGGAGCTACTTTTCTTTTGCCACATTTATTTTGTTCATCTGTGATAGAGGCTGGACAGCCTTCAGAAAACAGGCTGGGAAGATTTCTATTGCCTGGTCATTTGGTAGAGGTGAGGGGTGGGAGGGGTGAAAGTAAACATGCTAGATCACCACCCGGTTTCTGGGAAAAAATGCAAAATTGTAATGTCCAGTGTTGTGTGGCAAGTAACAAGCAAACCTGGCTTTTTCCTCCTTGGGAGATCATGTAAAAGAATAACATCCTGTTTGCTGGAGGAACACTGTATTCTCACACAGCAGATACTTGTACAGAGAGAATTCTGTATGAATTCTGGTACTGAAATGAGGCTGTACCTGGAACACATAATTAAAGACTTGTATTTGCTCAGCCCAAAGGTCCTGCTCTATTTTGTGTTAACAGGGAATAATAAAATCTTACAAACCTAGGTGCACCTGTTTTATATATTCAATTAATGAGGCCTTGTTATCATTCCAAAAGTATGGCAGCTTTTCCTCACGAGGATATTTACAGCATGACAGCTCCAGCGTAATTTCAAAACACTGGGCCCAGATGTAGTTGTAGTCTTGCATTCCACCTACAAACAAGCATATTTAGTTTTTGTTAAGGCCTAAAATTGGAGTGAAGCCAAGTATCACAGACCTTGGGGATGAGTGGATGAGACAGTTGCAGGGGAAATGAACGTAAACAGGAAAAGACAAATTTGACATATTAGCATGAAAAATCAAGGATTGACATGATGAGTCATGACTAGGCATCTTAAATATTTCCATATGCAAAAGTGGATCAGAGTTGACTAAAGTTCAATTGTGCATCAATTAAATGAGGGGTGGAGGAAGGCTCCTTTTTAATTTTTTATTTTTAAAAGTTCTATATTATGAAAGGATTCTTCAAATTCCAATTCTTCCTTGAATTACATTTTAAATGGACATAAACTAGAATAGAATTTCGAATATATCTACAAATCATTCATTTGTAAACTCATTTATATGAAGCAAAGAACACTACTTTTAAGGGAATAATAATGGCCAACATTTACTTAGTGTTCACTATTGCTAGGTACTGTTCAAAGTGCTTTAGGTCAACTCATTGAATCCTTATGACAATTATTACTGCCTTATACAAAGCAGGAGATATAATCCCAGATGTTAGGTCATGTGTCCAGAAATTCCTGCCTGTGGACAGCAGAGACTAGGGTGTAGGCCACCTTGCCCTAGCTCCTGTGCTTTTTTTTTTTTTTTTTTTTGGTACTGGGGATTGAACCCATGGGCACTTTACCACTATATCTGCAGTCCCCCTACCCCAGCTGTTTTTTTTTTCCCCTTAATTTTGAGACAGGACCTCTCACTAAGTTGCTTAGGGTCTCACTAAGTTGCTAAGGTTGGCCTCAAAATTATGATCCTCCTGCCTTGGCCTCTAAGTCACTGGGAATATAGTTGGGTGCCTCAGCACTCAGCCTGAGTTCCCATGCTCTTACCTATTATGCCAAGGTGCTTGTGGGGGTCAGAGAAAGAATGCCACTGACTCTCAGGAGGAAAAATACCCAGAGCCCTGTGGCTTCTGGTGCTGCCACTGCTTACATCATCTTTTTGTTTTTAACCTTCTGAAGACCCTATTTTCAAAGGGTTATTACAATTTTATTTTCTAAGATAAAAATATTTTCATATTTTAATCTCTCTGAATTGAGATATCTTAAATGGCATGCTTGAAAAAATTATGGCTTTAACTGAAAACACTTTATTCCTTTCCTGGTGGTTTATCGTATTTTACAATCAATGTCATCTTGGATTTGATGGAATAACAGTAACTTTAAAGGAAGTAGATTTTAATTTGCTACACTTGATATCTGCACAAGAAAATATGTATTCTCAATTCCATCAGGATATTTGGGAAGCACTGAAGTAGAAAAACAGTTTGATTTCAAGAAAATGATTAAAAGAGTATATCAGAATACTGATACATACTACTATATATAGGTAGCGGGCGCGGTGGCACATGCCTATAATCTCAGTGGCTTGGGAGGCTGAGACAGGAGGATTGTGAGTTCAAAGCCAGTCTCAGCAACTTCGCAAGCCATTAAACAAACTCAGTGAGATCTTGTCTCTAAATAAAATACAAAAAAGGGCCGAGGGTGTGGCTCAGTGACTGAGTGCCTCCGAATTCAATCCCTAGTAGTAATAATAATAATATACTGGACACCTGGTGGTGGCATGTGATTGAATAAATCAAATTATTTCGAAAAAAAATAATAATAAAAAAATACTAGATATATTGGGCTGGGATTGTGGCTCCGTGGTAGAGCGCGTTTAGCATGTGTGAGGCACTGGGTTTGATTCACAGCACTGCAAATAAACAAACAAATAAATAAATAAATAAAAATAAAGGTCCATCAACAATTAAAAAATATGAAAAATACTAGATATCAAGTGATAACAGTGTAGGCCCAGATTCTAGCCAGGAAAAGCCTATCTTATAGATTTTTATATTTCTCTCTGAACTTATTTTCACAAAAAACAAAACAACAAGGAAAAGAGAGAAAAGAAAACAATATTTTGACTGGATGGATATGTCTCAGGTAGAAAGAATTTAAATGGCAAAACTGGTGTGCTTTAAGGATCCCTAGCAAAGTATTCCCAATTGAAAATGCCAAGCATGGAGAGTGATCAAAGTTCTGGATAAAGCCAGTCATGCTTGGCAACAAAACCTGTAGGAGGGCCAGGAGGCTTTGCTCTCTACTCCAACGCAGCTGGCTTTGCCTTTTTTTTTTTTTTTTTTTTGAGAAAGATACACAGCTCATACATACATACTTGGGAAATTTCCAATTTCCTATACATTTGAATTTGTCTTCAGTTATAGACAGTGAACATTAAGAACGACTCTGCCATTGAGCAGGAGTGAGGTCCTCTCCTAGCTCCGAAGAGGGAAGAACAAGACTAGAGTGGAGACCTAGGGTGGGAAGGGGGGCCTGTCTTAGCAGGGAGAGTTTGGGGTGTTGTGGTGTCTAGCTGGACCTTCTGGCTGCATGCCCTCAAATCATCATCTATGCTCATTTACATTATCTGGAAAGCTGTCAATGAGCTGTCCAGACACAAAGTACTAGCTTGTGCAAGATTACTGGCAGCCTGTGCATCTATCGTGATAACTTGTGAAGGCACCTTTGGAAGTGGCCTGTGTGCAGAAGTGCAGCTCGAGGGCCAGGCTGGCCAGGCTGTTTACAGTACTCCTTCTTGCAAGAATATCTTCCTTCCATGTTCCCCACATGGTAATCTTCCTCCCTTCCTTCTTGCCATCCTATTCCAAGAGTGGAAACTGGAGGACCCTGTCTGTTGTGTCCTGCCTGAAAAGCCCTTTTATTGAGCCTGCAAAGTAGCTTTCTAAGAAGGGTACTTCTTCCTGATATCCAGCTTTTCATAACCTGGAATGTCTAGCCATATTGGTTCTCCACTACTGCATGGCAATAATAAGCTGGATCTAAGTATCAGTTGTCTCTGTGAGATGGGACATAAGCATTGCAATTCTCTAAGGTCTTCACAATTTTCCTATTGTCTTTTGTGTAGCTATTGTTTATTTACTGGTTTGTATATCCCTATGGTACACAGGTATCTTTTCTAAATCTTCATTCTTATTCTAATTACACAATCACAATTACTTATTTGCCTTAACCTTGAGGGTAAGATCTGCTGTGTCTTGTTCATCTTTCTTGGCACAGTTCTGGCTCACAGCACGCAGATATTGAATAAATACCTGAATGAATAAAAAAGGCCATTGGCAGTGAGGGACATGTCTGAGCATCTCTCACCTCCACTGCTTCTGTGGTATTAGCTAATGGAGAGAAGATTGAGAGACACAAACCAGCTGGTGCCCTTGGGTGATGACAATAAGGAGAATGGAAGAAATGAAGAGAAACTCACCTTGGAGTGGATACCAAGAGTAACCATTTGTAACTCCATTGGGAAAGTTCATTTTATTTTTACACTGATCTCCTTTAGTCATGTTGGGATTTCTTGAAGCATAGGTATATGCAAGATGTTGAAAAACATCATCATCAGGAGTTAAGCTTCGGGAGAGCAATGTTCCAGTTGCTGCATTTGAAAGACACATCAAGACCTTTCAATTAACTTGTAGTAAGATGTTAGCAAATACATACTCATGTTGCACATAAATGCTCTCATTTCCAATAGAGATCCACCCATTTCCATGAATGCTCCCTCTATTCTTTTTTTCCACTTTTTAATAAGCAAATACAAGGTGATATCTCACAAAATAAGTCAGATACATATCCAGACTTCTCCTAAATCAGCTTAAAAATTAGACATCCTCTTGGTACTCTTGCTGATTTCTGAAGGTTGGCAAACTTTCCTTAGGTATTCAGGAGGTTGAAGGAAGCCAGTAATATTTTAAGTCCTTGAGTTTTAAAAGGAGTCAGCGATTACCATTCATATGATTAGCAAAGAAATGTAATTTGTTCTAGTTTTATTTTGTTTTAGCCATGTAGCCTCTTGTGAGATGATCTAAGTCTGATTTTACTATTTCATTCATGAATATCACACTACTGGCTTCAGTTCAGCCACACTGCACATCCACTGCTTGAGAATTTATAGGAAGGATGGCTTAGGGTTGGGAAATTAAAGCTCCTTCTAACCCAGCCAGAGATGTTAAGCAATGGCAGAAGGGTTCCTCCTCACATAGAGGCACTACATTTGTAGCTCTGCTCTGCACTTAGAAAGCCAGAGTGGGTCCCACATTTGCTTACCTTGAACACCATTATCAAATGGGTAACTGGCCACCAATGCACCACCGTGGAGGTTTGCAGAGAGGACAAATGTCTCCGATTTCAGCCACTTCATGATTGCCAGAGTTTCAGGCTGCCTTGATACATTATTATATTCAAAGGCATCAGGGAAATTTCTATTCAGGTCATACTGGTTATAATTTTCCCTTTAAAAGAAAGAACTTTTTAGGGCTCATTGATGTTGTTACAAGGGAAAAGATTCTTGCAGTGCAAAGACCTTTGGATTAGGCTCCAGGTGTTTCCCAAATGTGGTAGATGGCAGCCTTGGTGCCTCCAACAAACCATACACATTTACACGCTACGTGGTCTCCTCCTCCTGTCTGACCTGCTCTTACCAATAGAACATTAGCTATTGTAACCTAAGCAGAAGCTTTTGGTAAGTCTTTGCATTCTGGGACTTTTGCCCTTAGAAAACTTTCTTTTGGAGCTTGAGACTCCAGTGGTAGATACATGGAGAGTCCACATGGAGAAATGAAGAGCCCAGGGGACAGCCAGAATGAGGACCCAGGTAAGGCACTTGGACTGGCCATTCCAGCCAGAATGAGGACCCAGGTAAGGCACTTGGACTGGCCATTCCGGCTCTGCTCTGCTCTGCCCAAACTCCTGACTTACAGGGAAAAAAAAAAAAAAGCTATTGTTTCAACTCACCAGTTTAAGAATGGTTCCTTATGTAGCAGAAACAACAGGAGGAGTGAGCTATTTTATATTTCTAAAAAGTGGAATGTTTAAATATACTAAAAAAACCCTAAAACTGAAGAGAATCCAGTGGTGAGATTTTATTTTTAGTAAAGCAAAATATTTCTAAATTGCACAAATATAAATGTATGATAAACATTTGAAAATTTCTAAACCTTCCAAGACAGCTTGAAACAGAAACTGTTTAAACCAGAACTACTGTAAGACTGATTCTTCTTTGTGGTTAGATCACTGGCTTAATAAATCAACCACTAATGATTGAGGGCGTGTACTACCCCAGGCAACCGGGGAGCTCACCGCAATGAACATACCAGACATGATCCTGCCCTCAGGGAGCTTGCTTTTTAGTGGGGAGAGAGAGATTACACAAGAAATTGGACCCTACAAATTGTGCTATGAAGGTAAAGAGCTGAGTGACCTAAGAGTATACCAGGGAGCCTAATATATGATACTTGTCAGGGAAGGAGTCTTTGAGGAAATGCTATGTCAGCAGCGGGAAGAGGTAAAGAGAGAGTGGAGGTGTCAGACGCCTGTGCCCAGAAAGTACTGGGAGAAGAGGGAGGAGGATCAGAGAGGCAGGAGCCCAGGGCGCAGGGGGCGTGGCCAGTGGAGGCGGCACCGGTATTGAGGATTTCAAGATTCATCCTGCAAACAGGGGGCAGGAGTTCCAGCACACTGCGGCAGGGTGCTGGCTGTGAGATGCTTCACTGTCATCTAACTCCTCTTTCTAGGGCCAGCAGGTACCTGATGGGAGCCTTTCCGTTTTGTCTTGTTTTAAAATAAAGTTAGACCAGTCCATCTCACCTTCCGTTACTGTAGAAACAGTCAGGCTTTTTGACAGCTTCGAATCCATCTGGGTTCATTGATGGCATGATGTGTATCCGGGTACTATTGATCAGATTTGTGATTTCAGGGTCTTTCCCATAGCTGGTGACAAGATAGTCAATCAGATGGAGCAGCAGCTCCCTCCCGACAGTCTGTGGTGGAAGAGAAAGGGGGTGTTTTAGGTCAGAAGCAATAAGGAAAACCATGCCTGGAGCACAAATCCCCTCAGTAGGGGCCTGAATGCATGATATATTGGACCAAAACTAGTCCATAGGACCACTAATTCCTCCAGCACAGGGCAATCAGGCAAGTGGTAATCAATCCCTGGATGTGCTGCAAAGTATTTGTTACTCAAAATTACTCTGTTGTAAATAGTTTACTTTTTATCTTGGGGATAGGGATTGAAACAAGAATAATTATTTTAAAAAAGAATTACAGCCAGGTTCAGTAGTGCATACCTGTCATCCCAGCTATTCAGAAGGCTAAGGAAGGAGAATGGCAAGTTCGAGGGCATCCTGGGCAACTTAGCAAGGAGACCATGCCTCATAAAAAACTTTTAAAAAGGGCGGTGGGTGTACCCAACCTAGGTGCCCTTCAATAGATGAATGGATAAAGAAAATGTGATACGTATATACAATGGAATATTATTCAGCCGTTAAAAGAATGACTTTATGAAATCTGCTGGTAAATGGATGGATCTGGAGACTAACATGCTAAGTGAAATAAACCAATCCCCCAAAACCAAAGGACAAATGTTCTCTCTGATATGCAGATGCTAGGGAGGGTGGGGAGGAGAAACAGAAGTTCAGGTGGATTAGACAAAGGGAAATGAAGAGAAGGGAGGGAGGACAGGAATAGGAGAGACAGTGGAATGAATGAGACATAACTTTCCTATGTTCATATATGAATACACCACTAGTGAAACTCCACATCATGTACCACCACAAGACTGGGATCCTAATTACAATAAGCTCTATTCCATGTATGTGTAATATGTCAAAATACGCTCTACTGTCCTGTATATCTAAAAAGAACAAATAAAAAATAAAACACAGGAGATATTTTTAAAAAGAAAGAAAGAAAAGAAAAGAACTCAAGCCAAGAGCTGACAATGAGATTCACCAGCCAAAGGCAAAGAAAGCCAGGATTAAAAGGCTTGGGTTGAGTGCGAATTCAGTTAACAGTAGAACTAGTCATCAGTTCTATTTACAGTCAAAATTTAACCAGTTATTTTTAGTTTCACTTCAGTTTTATTCTTCTGTTAATAAATTTTAGTAGGATTAAGTTTAAAGATTTAAATATAATCATACTTAGGTCAATTTGAATATGATTACATTTTATACATCTTAAAAGCTACCAACTCATAATATAAAATAGAAATATACAAGTGTCTGAGAAATAGTAATAAAGGTTATTCTGGGTGAAAGTATTTCTGATAACTTGTTACCTCTTATTTTTCTAGTATTACTTTCTAGTATCTTTTTGTCATTTTTATAAAAACAAAAAAGTCATGATTCTTTCAGGTACAAAAGTGTGTAATCAAAGTATTTTCTGTTTGTCTCAATATACCACAAGAAGTCACAAGTGGAGAGGGTATATAAAAACCTTGGGAATATGACAAAGAATAATTTTCAGATAATTTGAAAAATGCTGAGGCAAACAGATGAAATTTCAGAGGGAGTTAAAATCTCTTTTTTCAGTTGGTCCATACTTGCTGCCTCTGTAACAGCAGAGTTCAACCAAATATTATTCAAATTAATTCCTCCTAACTTTAATATAAATGTCTCAAACATTCACTCATGTTTTATGTATAAACCTCCTTCCCTTCCCAATTTTAAAACTTTAGAATTAAGCCTTTGACTATGAAACCTTGGAGAGTTCAAATTTTAAGAAAGAATGTGGTGAAAACAGTGTCCCTTAGCTTACCCGGCCTTTCATCCAGCACGCTCACTTCCTTTCTGTGAGAGTATGGACTTCATGAAAGGACCCCCAGTAAGAGCCTGGGAGGCCTGGAGCACACACACTGCGTGGGGAGCCTTTCACTGGTGATTCAGATGGTCGTTAAAATGGCAATAACCCAGAAGGCAGAAAATAAAGTCTCCATCAGGTTTAGTTCAATTCAGCCAACTTGGAATTTGCCAGATAAATAAAAATGAGTCTAGATCTTCAAAGAATGTTTATAACACAATGGGGAAAATTTGAAGGAACAATCCACAACACCGTTAGTAGGGGGCAAGAGAGAGGGGGAAAGGCAGACAGGCAGACAGACACAGACAGGCAGAAACTTCAGTTCTGGGGTTCCACAATGGTGTGTTACAGATTTAATTCATTTGCCTGATGGTCTAGCTAATCCTCCTTGGTCAAATATCGAGCCTACAGATTCCATTATCTAACATACAGTCCCTAGCCTCCCACATCTGGGTTCAGCGACCTGCCTGTGTGGCCCCTGCACACCCCACCACTACGCTATCTAATGCCACTCACATAGGTTACAGTTAACCTAGCTGGCCACCCCTTCCCCACTCCACCATCTAAGCCTTGAGAGCAAGGATCTGAACCATTTCCCTCTGTATCCCTGGTATATCTTGCACATTTCCTGGTGTATCATGAATTTGGTAATTGTTAATTAGTTACTGTTGACAAATCCAGTACAAGGTCAAGACAACCCGGAGAAAGAACTTTTGGAAAACACGAAGATCCACAGTACTTAGGAAGAGGAGATGTTCAAAATGACAGTCATTTTGTTGGAAGTATTTTCAGTACTGAACAAAATTTACAGGGGTGTGGGGGGGCTGACATTTCTGCTTATGACAAGAAATCTAAATATCTGGTCACACTGGCTCAGCCTCACCAAAAAGAGATGGAGAAACAGATCACTATTTGAGGAATCTTCTACATGCTAAAAATGAATCTGACACTTCACCTGGAATAACCATTAGCTCTGTCTAAATCTAAACAGAACTATTTAAAGTCATGTGGTAATTGAGAACAGTTTGCTATCTAGAAAGTGGTGGAAAAAAATTTTGGAAGAACAAGCTTTTACATTTTTGTTCGAACAAATTTGGCACCTCTATCTTATGGTAACTACACATCCCAGACTTTCTAAGACAGGCACAATTTCAGATATTATGCCTTATTGTCTGCATAAACCATTAAAATACCCTCTAAGTACAAACATTTAGATATACAAATTGCATCACATAAACTGTTTCTATACTGAGATGTGTAAAAGTCAAATGTGCTTTATTTTTAGTTTGAAAATATGCTCATTATTTATAGGAAATGTTTTTTCTTTCAACCTATATATCTGGAATACAATAAAGTATAAACAAATGTTACTAAATGTAAGATTCTAAATGTGATATGGGTTTTTCAAAAGTCTAAACCCAAATAAACAATCATAGTAAAAACTGACATTTAAGAAACAGAAACTTAAATTTCCAGGGTGCTACCCCCTCCCCCAAGTCAGAATTGTAGTTTAGTTAAACTTAAGAAAAACTTCAAATACCTACTCTCACAGTAATCAAGATGTGGCCCCAAGGTCAAGGCCACTGGGGCTGGAATCCAAGGTCTGACCTATACTTTACCTGTTGCTGGGTGAGCTTAAAACTCTAGGCACTCAATTCCTAAAACACAGTCATGCCTCACTTCATTATTTCCACTAGAGAAGAATTAGAGAGGTCTTAACCAAACCAGTAATTGCCCAAGTAAAATAGTTTTTTTTTTTTTCCTAAAAATAAAAATAACAAAATAAAGGCACTGGGTGGGGAGATAAAAAGCACAGAACAGCACAGAGAGCTTTAGGAAGGAAGGAGGTATGGAGATCCTCCTGGGTGGCTCTCCTGCAACCACACTGAGGCCAAGGATGTTATGTCCCCAGCGTCAGGACATGACCAGAGCTTTAAGTAAAGCTCAATTTTAGATTATTGATTTTAGTGTCCACAAATCGAGACAATAGCCGAATGAGGGGGTGGGGGAAGGCAAGGGGGAGACAGATCTCAACCCCAAACAATCTGAATATCTATGGAATAAGGGAAGAGTAGGACTCCATTCAGTGTGTACTGGCATCGATCCTTCCAATTAGAAAAGTCTAACTAAACTTCAGGTGTGTCATTAGGAGGCTGCATATATTAAACCTAGAATTGGGGTTTCTACAATTCTAAGTTCCAATGTGTATGTAAACCAGGGCCTGAAGGAACTAGAAAAACACCTGCTAGACTTACTAAAATGAGGAAGATTAAATCTCAGAAATGTTCCTCCCATGCTTTTTTATAAAGTACGGGCACATCAGGGGACAAAGGCTCCTCTGGATGCTTTGTCTGTAAGCTCCCAGGGGTGACTCCTCTGCAGTCAGGAGAAGCAAGCAGTAAGTTGGAAGACAAAAGGTTCCAAGATAGACAACTGGGAAAATCTCTTTCAGTGTTGCTCCTTCTAAAAGCTTGTTACTGTTTTGTATGATCAATAAGCCAAAGTGTTCTCATTAAATGATTCTGGAACAACTGAGTATCCATCCAAACAAAATTAGTTTGAGGGAGACCAAAGATCTATATACAACAACTAAAACAATAAAATCAGAACATTCCAAAGACAGTTAAAAAGGCAGATCCACTGGATAAGGCTTAATGCTCAGGCTCCAGAGTCAGATGGTTTTGTGGTAAAACCCAAACCTGGATCACTTAGAGCCTTGCTAAATTGCCAGGCTGGCCTCAAATTTGCCTCTTCCTGCCTCAGCCTCCAGAGTAGCTGGGGCATTGGGCCTGTACCACTGTGTCTACAATAACATCTTTTCTTTTCTTTTTTTTTTTTTTTAAGTTACTGTCTTGCCTTTAGTTTTTTTAAAAAATAGATTGGAACTGGGCATGGTCATGTGCAGTTGTAATCCCAGTTACTGGGAGGCTGAGGCAGGAGGATAGAGTGTTTGAGGCCAGCCTGGGCAACTAGTGAGACCCTATCTCAAAATAAAAATGAAAAGGTCTGGGAATGTAGCCCAGTGGTACAGCATCCCTGGGTTCAATCTCCAGTACTATTTTTTTTTTTAAGTTTTAATCTTTGTTTTAAAAACATAGTAACCAGGTGAGGTAGAAGGAGACATTTTCCAACACTGCTCATATACACTCAAATTGTAGGTTCTTCATGGTTTATTCTGAATTGCAAAAATTCTCTCTGTGCTTTCCTTTACTCAATCCTGGCTGCCATAATCAGACAGAAAGTTCAAGTTGCTTTTTTTTTTTTTTCTTGGATATGTAGTAGAAAACTTAACAGATTATTTTTAATAAGGAAAAGACCTAATTCTAAAACAAGGTGTAAAGAGGTGGAGATTCATGGGGGAAAGTGGCCAAACTGGGTACTCCTAATGCTGCTGCTCACTGTCATAGAGTCACCATATCAAGTGGTAACAACACACGCCCTCATACATGCACTCAGGAGAGAGAAAACATTTTAAAAATAATGTGGCCAATCTTGTACATCATGCCCCTCAGTATATATGTACCTCCTATAGGGACTGTCCACATCAGGTCCATAATCTCCCAGAAGATCCAAAGATCCTGAGGTTGGAGGTCAAAGTTTGTACCAATATAACAAGGAATACCTCCAGAGAAGGTTAAGGATCACTGCCCTAAAATACTAACTACATTACTTTTTCTTCTTCTCTTTTCTCTTTTCAGTGCTGGAGATTGAACCCAGGGCCTTGAACAGTTAGGCAAGTGCTCTACCACTGAGTTATACTCCAGCCTCTTATCTTGCTTTTCTTTTTTTCTTTGTCACCAGGGATCAAACCCAGGGGTGCTTAACTACTGAGCCACATCCACAGTCCTTTTTATATTTTATTAGAGACAAGATCTCTCTGAGTTGCTTAGGGCCTCACTAAATTGCTGAGGCTGGCTTTGAACTTGTGATCCTCCTTTCTCAGCCTCCCTAGCTGCTGAGATTACAGGAGTATACCACTTGGCCCAGCTACATTGCTTTTTAATAAGATAGAAAAACAGAGAATGCTTTCAGTGCCAAAAGATTTAAGTAAGGAACAAGGTGGTGATTAGACCCTGTGCCAAGTGACTTTTTTGCTCCTAGGTTAGACCATTGCTTTTTCTAACTCCCAGTGGCACCAGGATGGCTGACTATTGAAGTCTTCAAGTTAAACATAATAACTTTCTTAGCAGTCCCATGGAGCCCACAGATGCTTCTACCAGCTGGGACATGAAAGGGGTTTACATGTTTCAGATCCTCACCTCAAAACACACCAAGACTTTTTCCTCTGCCTAATCTCAGTCCTCACTATTCCTTAAATAAGCAGGGTGAACTAGAGAGACTTGACATTATGGACACACTAACTACACCAGAAAATTGGGAAACTGCATGGAAAGAATAGCCAATTAGTGTGTGTGGGGGGTAATGTTTCTTCTTATCTTTGGAAGTTTCAGTTCTGAGGGTTAATTTCTGAGTTGCAGACTGCAAGTCCTGAAGCACCAGGAATTCAATAAATAAACTACTGAAGGCAAAGAGTGACATCTGTCTCTTATTAAAAATGGATTCCAAGGGACCTTGATCAATAGACTGGGCAGCAAAAGGGAAAGACGTCTGGGCTACTCTAATAGTTGTTTTATTAAAAGCAACTTTGGTTGGACTCCCAGCAATCTCAAGTTTGTTTTTTTTTTTTTTTTTTTTTTAAAGAAACAGTGCATTATGTTCAGAAAGCCACAGATGGATCGAACTTCACTGGCCCCCAAGATACCTACTCTTTTCTGAGAGGTAGATGTTTGCATCTTTGCTCTGGCTGCAAGAAAAGTACCTTCTCTAAGCTGGGCAGGTTGGTCAGCATGCCTGGCAAGGGCAGGCTGTGTGTGTCATGAAGGGTGGAGCCAGTTTCCCAGGAGCCTGGGCTCGGGGAGGGTGAAGCCAGGTCAGGAAGCTTAGCACTGATGAGAGCAAGCCACCCAGGCTATTGCAAATCTGTAGTGTTCCAACAAGTGAGCAGGTTGTACTTATTGGAATATGCATTTACACTGACATTCCTTTAAATTACATGTTTTATAATGCATTCTGCACATTCCTGTGCATATTTTTTTTTATGGTGATGTCAGGAAACTACCTTTCTACATTTGACTGCCCAGTCTTATTGAATCCTGGAAAGTGGGAAATACTGCAGTTGTCATGTTCTCAAAAGCCTAAGGAAGTAAGGTGAGAAAGGGAGATGAACATCTTCAACTGTGTGCCAGATGGCTGGGCAGGTAAGAGTGGCAAAAGGATATTTTGTGAAACAAAAAGAATTTATTTCTTCTAATGTGAAAAAGAGGTCAAACACTATGAAGGCATTCAACAGTATTTGTGGAATGATGGGTCTGAGAGAACCCTAAGTGTGGCTACCTCAAAGTGAACATTGAAACCATTGAGTATGCCAGGGGTAGTGGTGCAGTCCTGTAATCCAAGGCTGAGGCAGGAGATTCGCAAGTTCAAGACCAGCCTCAGCAACTTAGCAAGGCCATTAGCAACTTAGCAAACCCTGTCTCAAAATGAAAAAGTAAAAAGGGCTGGGATGTAGGTTAGTGGTTAAGCACCCCTGGGTTCAATCTAAGAAAGAAAGAAAGGAAGGGAGGGAGAGAAAGAAAATACTGAGTATTAGATTAAGAGCCACAAAAGTATTCAAAAGCCAGATGTTAGGAATCTGGATAGCTATTTGGAATTTTCTGAGTTCAAATAAATAGAGCTCCTTTGCTGGGTGACCTTTATGCTGACTTGGATGGGAGGAGTTGAAAGCTAGAGCACTGTTTGCAGCTTCAAGAACAAAAACACGTCAGGTTACTCTCACAGGACACCAGGTATATGACCAAATGGCTGTGCTGCTGCTGGACCCTGATTCCTTAAACTCCTTCAGAAGGTCTCACAGAAAGACCTTGCAGGGCCTTACTTCTTTGTTGCAATATGTGAGTCTTCTTTATGTTTCCTCTTTAACATTTACATGGAGCTCAAGAGACCTGAGGGGAAGTGTGTCTGGTGACTTTGCAGAAATTCACGCCATGTCCATACCTCATCTCCATGCATATTTCCTACGTATTTGAATTCTGGAATCCCAACTCTGTGTTCCTTAGGAAACCGTCCCACGACAAGAACCCATAGGTTTCTACCTTTATTGGGAAGAAAAAAGAGAAAAGTAAGTTCATCTCTTAAAATGACAAATGAACTCTGGGAGAATGAGAATAGACCAGCGATGCTGTTTTTCCCACCTTACTTTTAACATTTCATGGTGACTTCAGTTCATATAACTAACATTTAAGTGCTTAAAATGTTCTTGTTTATTGTCAGAATTTAGGGAAACCCTTTCAATTCAATACAAATATTTATTATTCTAGGACGTGATTTTTAGAAATTGAACACTTATTAGGTTACATAGATCTTACTTTTCTAAAATGTTTATATACCTCACTTTAAGAACCTGGAGCCTCATAGAAACAATCTTGGGAAGGCACACAATTTAACAAAGTTAAATTACAGTTGATGGTTGACTGGAAGGGGGCCATAACTTGCAGCACAAACAAAATGAAGAAAGCAACAGTAATAAAACATGTAACTCAGGAGGGAGATTGTTTTTAAAGTAAGAAATCCTGAATCCTGTATTCAAATGCTAAAGTGACAAGCCCCCTGTGGCTGTGTTTTTGATGTGCATGAGTTCTGCAAAGTAAATTAGAAACCACAACCTGTGCTAACAATACCAAGGAAAACTTCTAAATCCCAGCTCTGCCTTAGACTGGAAGGGCAGAAACAAGATCATCAAGAATTGCCAGGACTGTGTCTGTGCCTATATCACAGCTGGTACCTGGTTCACATCACCTCAAGCAATCCCGTCATGACCCACTGAGATGGATTATTAATCAAACTGATTATCAAAAATATTAAGTAAACTTCTTATGATCATGCAGGAATAAAGAGACCACAACTTAAGCCCCAGAGCCATGCCTTGAACCCTGGTCTATTTGATTTCAATTCTAGTGCTCCTTTCACTAACAAAAACTATCCATCTCTCAGGAGGCTTGGTTTCCCAACCAGTAAGAGCAAAGAAGTCCTTTTCAATTCTAAAATTGTCTGGTGTTTTTAATACAGTTTAAAGTTGGAGATTGGGATTATGTTTGATATCTATCAGGTATATACAAAGTTCAAATTATCTGTGATAACTCAGCTGTATGTGGAATTTAAGAGCCTGGGAAAGGAATTTAACAGCAACTAATAGGCTAATGTTGAGAGGGTTTCTGCAGATTTTCTGATTTAGTTCCTCAAATCAGGGATCTTACAGGCTGGGGAACACTCAGTTGCAATGAGTAGCTGAAGGAAAAGCAGATATTGAATTGTCTTTTTCAACATTTACTCAAATATTATTAGAACAATTTTTTAGGGAAATTTGCCATGAACAAGTTGATGCTTTAAATTCAGTAACTAGGAATTTTCAGAAAATGTTCACCAAATGCAGTTTGTCTGATTGATGGCCCCCTGTTCAGTGTAGAGGTCACCTCCATTTATTTATTTGATTACTACATCTAGACATTCAGCCTGGATCAGTGACATGCTCCATGCCCAATGATTTTTTTAACATATATTTTTTTTAGTTGTAGATGGACACAATTTCTTTGTTTTATTTATTTATTCATAATAGCTAAATTGTGGAACCAACCTAGATGCCCTTCAGTTGATGATTGGATAATGAACATGTGGTATATAAACACAATGGAATACTATTCAGCATTAAAGAGAACAAAATCATGGCATTTGCTGGTAAATGGATGGAGTTGGAGAAGATGATGCAAAGTGAAGTTAGCCAATCCTAAAAAACGAAATGCCAAATGTTTTCTCTGCTATAAGGAGGCTTATTCATAGTGGCGTGGTGGTGGGGAGCATGGGAAGAATAGACAAACTCTAGATAGAGCAAAGGGGAGGAAAGGGTTGGGAGGAGGCATGGGGGTAGGAAAGACAGTGGAATGAGATGGACATCATTACCCTAAGTACATGTCTGAAGACACGAATGGTGTGACTCTACTTTGTATACAGCAAGAGACTTGAAAAATTGCGCTCTATATGTGTAATATGAATTGTAATGCATTCTGCTGTCATGCATAACAAATTAGAATTTAAAAAAAAGATTAGGGATTTGAAAACAAAGATTGGGGATTAAATAAAGATGCTCATTATCACTACAAAAAAAATAAAATAAAAAAGAAAAGTTCGTTCAAGGCCAGCCTCAGAATCAGTGAGACCCTAAGCAACTTAGTGAGATTCTATCTCAAAAAGAAAGAAAGAGACCTGGGGGTGTGGCTCAGTGGTAAAACATCCCTTTGTTAAATCCCCACCACCAAAGGGGGAAAAAAAGCAAGCATTCTGAGTTTGCCATGTGGACATGTCCATTCCATCTAGTCATTCCCCACCAGAAGCATTTGATTAATTAGAACCCTTCATTCACCAATGGCATTAATTCTCTGCTCATCTGGAACTCAGTCCTACAAAGCTAACATTTCATATGAAACAAGGAAGAACTTTTTATAAGTGAGCTGTTAAACTTGGCTCTTTGGGTTTGTTTCTGGGGAATTCTTTTCTGTAACTATTAATGCTTTTAAAGCTACCATAATCACAGATTTGTACAGAGTATAGTTTTGTTCCCTCTTGGGCAAGAGAAAAATTCAATATTATCTTAACATAATATTTATCAATTGTAATATATAATTCTGAGTCTACAACAGCCTTTTTTTTTTTTTTTACACAAATCATAGGAGTAGACAGCAAAACCCTAACCTGATGTGGACATCCAATATCACTTAGTTTAAGGAAAGAAGGAAATCAAACTCATCAAACCAAGTGAAGACATCTTTTGGTGGGTAATTCAATCCAACTTTAGCACAAATGACCTCTAAGTGAACTGCAAGATGAGAAACTTACCTTGAATGACTTCACTGGCACTAAGTCTGAGAATGAAATCAACCCACAACCCTGGAGGATACACACAATCCTTTTGCAGTGACCTGATTCTCGAAGGGCTTTCACCTCCCCTCCAACCAACGTCGGCCATCTCTGGCTAAGACCAGAGGAAGAACACAAAAGACAAACCACTTACCTCCAACAACCTGGTAGTCAAAACAAGGGCAATATAAGCAAGATTTTCCTTCTTCTATCAAGGTTGGAAAGACTACCTTTATTCTCCCAAGTTTGAGCTAGTATCAGGTGTGATAAAGAGTTCTGAAGTGTTCTGCCTTTTTCTCTTCATTACAAAGTAAATTAAATTTGGATTCCAGATACTTCAGAATCTACACTTACTCACTCACTCAGGGTTTAACACAAACCCTGGGCCCTGGGTGCCAAATTGAGTTGCTCAGGATATCAGGAAAAGATTTACAGTTTAGGATTCACAAAGACACACAAGAGAAGAAAGGAAGCCAGAAGTGCTACAATGTACTAGAGGAGTTCAGGCCATTTCCTAAGTTCTCTCTTTTTGGTAGTGCTAGGGATCAAGCCCAGAGCCTTGCACTATGCGAAGCAGACACACTACCATTGAGCCACATCCCTCGTCCCCTCAAAATACCAATTCCTGAGCTTCAACCTCCATCTACTAAATCGAATTCCATGGGTAAAGTCTAAGACATTTAATAAGTCCCTTTGGTGATTCTGAGGCCTATTACTGTTTTTTTTAATTTTTAAATTTGCTCTTTTTAGTTACACATGACAGCAGAATGTATTTTGACATATCATACATACAAGGAGTATAACCCCATTTTTGTGGTTGTGTATGATGTGGAGTTACACTAGTTGTGTATTCACATACACACATAGGAAAGTTATGTCTGATTCACTCTACTGTCTTTCCCATTCCCATACCCCATTCCCTTCCCTTCATTCCCCTTTGTCTAATCTAGTGAACATCTATTCTCCTCCCTGCTGATTATTATTATTACAGTTTAAAAGAAACTGAATGGTCCAGATAGATTTGGGAGCCAATTTAGGTAAAACCATCTCATTTTACATATAATGATGAATCTGTTTCTATGTTAAGAGATATACTTCTACTGAACCTTTTAGGATGGCTGCTAAATGTTTTGTTATATGAGCACCCTTCCATTTATTCTACCAATACTTTCTTGTTAGGGGTCCACCAAGAAGTAATTTTATGCAAATTGTGCCATGTTCACTAAAATTAAGTACAGAATCTAACATTAAAAAGATTTCTAAGACAGGCTTGGGAGGCTGAAGCAGGAGGATTGCAAGTTCAAAGCAGTCTCAGCAATTTAGTGAGGCTCTAAGCAACTAAGTGAGACCCTGTCTCAAAATAAAAAGTAAAAAGGGCTGGAGATGTGGCTCAGTGGTTAAGTGCCTGGGGTTCAATCCTCAGTACAAACAAACAAATAAATAAAACTATTTATATTGTGAGAAAAATCAATGAAAAATTATGTAACATCAAAATGTGGGCTGGGGCTATGGATCAGTGGTAGCGTACTTGCCTAGCACGTGTGAGGCACTAGGTTCAATTCTCAGCACCACATATTAAATAAATAAATAAAGGTCTATGAACAATTAAAAAAATATTTTAAAAAAACGTGTAAAATAGGTTGTTCATTAAAAACATATGGCACCACAGTATATAAAGCCTAAAATAATGGAGGAATCCCTATACGAGATGGAAATAGCACATGTCAGTGATAAGGAGCTTAGAGGGTGATAAAAACCAAGTGACTTCATTTTTCTTTTTCATGTTTGCAGTTTTTAAAATTAAAAAAAATAAATTTTTCTTAGTTTTTTTCTTTAATAAGAACAGAACAATTAAAATATCAAAATTTATCATTCATTAAGTCTGGATATTATGGGCAGGCACTATGCTAAATAAATGCTGTCTGCTACTGGACGTTCATAACACCTCTGTGTAGGGGGTGAGAGCCACATTCCATAGCTGAGTGAAATGGCAAAACCAGGTTCAAATGCAGACTCGACTAAGCCCAAGATTTGTGCACCTCAATACCACCACACAGCCCCAATCTTCCTAGAAGTACTGGATAGGCTGGAACCCTGGTCTCAGGAAGAAATCTCCAGGCAGCTTTTTCAGTGTTGTGATGCTATGGTTTGCACCTGGAACAGGGTCCTGCCTGCTACCTGGCTC